CAAAGATATATATATATATATAAATTCAAGATGGAGGGCAGATGAACGGTTTTCAAAAACAATCTCATATTTGACATTTGCTTCTTTATCACACAGAACTCCTATTTAAAAATACTTTTAAATAGATTTTAAAAGCATTTCTTATGTGTATTAATCTCCAACTATAGCTGCTGTATTTTTTTCCTCATCTTCTGGTACCGACCCTAAATATAATGCTACGATATACGAGGCTAAAATGTAAAGATCTGGATGTCCCTCCATAACGACACATCACTAAATGTAAAATTCTCTACAGACAGAGGGAAATCAAACGATAACACAAATGCAGTTAGCTGATAAAATTAGCTGAGTTTACCCTGAGAGTCAGTGGGCTCACCTGAATAAACTGAGCGGATGATGTTATCCCCGCTTTGAACAAAAGACACCAGCGCCATCATGACCCCCATGGTTGAAGAAAGCGCCTCTTCGCTGCCATATCGGGAATAAATGGGCTTTCCAGCCTCACTCAGAACAAAAACATGCTTCCTGTGTCGCCGCCAGCTGTCGGCAGTGACATCCTCATCACGGTGAGACGTAAACGAAGGAGATTCCTGAATCCCCGTCTCAAGTAAAGGAGATGATCTCCCCTTTACGCCTATGCCTTGTTCTTCTAGCTTGGCCTTGGCCAGCATTGTAACAACAAACTCCCCAGAGTCGCTCTGAGCGTTGTTGATGGCAGCATCCTCAGTGACTCGCTCAGCTGGGTGGGCCGCCAGGTTGGTCTGACACTCCGAGTCCTGTGTCCTGGAATCTGTTCCAGGGTTGGGCGGAGGCCCTTCGTCCAGACCAGAATCCTCCACTGAAGCATCAGACGGCTGCAAAGTTGCAGGCTCACTTCTGTTAACGCTGCTGCAAGCATTGGTTGCCACTTGATCAGGAAACATGTGGTTCCCCAAGAGACAGAGAGAAGTGGCCAGGGTGTCTGCTATGGTGAAAGCAAAACTGAATTAGTTATGAAATAAACATTGTTGTCCAAATAACAATTGGATCATTCACAGCCAAGAATAATAAAGGGAACAGGAAATAAAAGTAAAAAAAAATATATATATATATATATGTTATTTTCAAGAATCTCACAAAAATCTTCATCTGGAGAGTTAAAGCTTTTTTTAACTACCTTTAAAGCATTAACTGGCTGATGTTTAAAGAAAGATTTTTTTTTTTTTTACTTTTTCTCTGCTTTTGCAAATGGAAGATCGAAGCGGCTCTATGTCATTTTACTCACATCTGACTTTTAAACTTCTACCATTAAAATAATGATCTTAGTGTTCAGGAAGTAAAAATTACAGCTTTTATTTTTTTTAATCTAGGTAAAGTACAATCGTTTTGTAATTTGTAGTGAATTTCCTTTTGGATCAACCTTTCATAGAATAATGTGATATTTCAACCTTTCAGAGTTAGTCAGCACAGGAACTGTGAAATAATCAAAATAAATGCTAAATATTCTATACATAAAGTCAACTCCCCCCCCCCCTTTTTTTGTTTACATCTAATATTATTTTGCAAGGATGGAATAATTTAAACAATTTTGACATTTGTGCTACTGTTATATGACTTCTTATGATTAAATAGCTTGTTTATATTCAAAGCTTTTTTTTTTCACTTTAAATTAATTGAACTTTATTGATCTCATGTGGGAGAAATTCACCTCTGCATTAAACCCATCCCCTTGAGTAATGGATTAAGTTGGGGTTAAGGGAGACCCACAGTGGCAGTCTGTGGGAGTGGGACTCAGGATTCCAAGCTCTATGCCCTTCCCACTAGACTTCCACTCCCCTCTAAAGAATACCATAGAGTAAAACGTATTACTGGTTTGAAAAAACTGGTTTTAAATGACCTGTCCACAAATTTTACAAAAAAAATATCCATCCAATTCTGCCAATTTAGATATCTATGTCGAAACCTGAAGTTATACTTTCCTTTAATGTCACTTCTAATGTGATTTAATGTCACTGGTCACTTCCATTACATATTTAATCTTTTTATCTTCTTCCTTTTATCTTTGCATAAAAATATCTTAAGGTTAATCTGGAGTGTAGATTATATTTTTCACAGGATTTTGTAATTCTAAATCTAAAACTGTAGTCCAGCCTTTTTTCTCTCTCTTTGCTCTCTGTGTGGTGCTTCTCCCCCATGTTAATGTCAAGCTGCTGAAATTTGAATTTCCCTTAAAGCGTCATCCTAATGGATAAAAATCAGGTCTCAGTCTTTAAAATTTACACAATTCAAATGCAATGAATGCAATCTTCTAGTGTTTATTTGGTTGTAAACTTGTATTTGTATAATAAAGGCTGGATCACTGCAGTTACGTTGAGAATGAAGTAATATTTACCAGGTGGGTTGCTCTCTGTTGGAGGGTCAGATGTCTCCTCTGCCTGCCCCTCTGTGTCTTTATGATGGTCTACCTCCATGATACCATCCCAGTCCCTAGAAAACAAAGGAATCCACATTCAGCTTCATTAATAAAGCACTGAGGTGTGATAACCTCATGAATAAATGTACTAATCAATGAGGTGACCTAAAATCAGGAGAGAGTGAACACCTTAAAGACAGCAAACAGACGCCGAGTCCAATCTGATTACAGCTTCAGCAGCAAATACAGTGTTACTCACCAGCAGAGGACGGTTATTAAAAAGAGTTTATTTTAAAATAAGTTTCCAAACAAACATAGCTGCCGGTTAATGCAGTTTTCCTTTATAAAATGAAACTCTCTGGCGGTGAATACGGACACAGCAAATGCTCACTATAGAGGCGAAGCTAACAGAAGCTAACAAGGCGAAACACAAACAGATGGATTTCATGGCCTCGGCTTCAACCAACTCTCTTTCTTAAATTTGATAAATAAACACAAACGACAAAACTTACGTTTGTAAAATGTCCAAACGTTGACTTTAAAAAAATACAAAGCACTACAATAACTTCACTGTGTAGCACGGTTGCAAATGAGCTGACAGGATGAGAAGCCGAAAACAAATCTTGCTCTTACAGCGGCGAACTTCCGGAGTCGACGATGACGTGGTTCAGGTAGCCAATAAGAATGCTGGTAGGAGCGGTTAAGCCCCGCCTATAAAATCTTAAAATCAGAGGTACTCAAAAACCTAACCACAGAGAGATGATAGTGATAATTATAGGATGGGTAGAGGAAGTAAGACCAGACAGTCATTTGTATTCTTTATTCTGTAGCAATTCTTCATTGTATTTAAAAAAAATATTTACCCATTAATATTCAATTCAAGTTTGTTCATGTATATAGCACCAATTCACAACACGTCATATCAAGGTATTTTACAGTTAACCAGCCCATACAGTCAAATTGATTAAAAGTTTTCTATCTAAGGAAAACAAGTTGATTGCATCGACTCATTGACTTGAAGGCAATCTCTCACACTAAGCATGATTGTAGCGACAGTGGAGAGCAAAAACTCCCTTTTAACAGGAAGAAACCTCCAGCAGAACCAGGCTCAGTGAGAGCGGCCATCTGCCGAGGCCGACTGGGGTTCAGGGAGACAGAAGCAGAGATACAAAAAGCAGCTGTAAAAGGCGTCCCAGTCCAAGAAACACACAGCCAGGCAGACAAGCTCTGAACCAACTCCCATGTCAGAGGATGAAGAGAGCACATCCAGCCAGTCACAGTCAGAGAAACAGGACACTGGAAAAACAGGCCAATCTCCAACATCTATAAACAACAGTATTGATGGCAGCAGCACAGCTGATATTTCTCTCCAGGGTGGAGTCACAGCCAAACAGGGACAGATGAAGCTACTATGAGAAAAGGCAGAGAGAGCATAAAGTTAGACATTGAACTAACAGATTCTGTAGAGTTGAAGAATAGAGATAGAATGAAGCAGAATGATTAAAAAGGGGTCCCTATGTCCTCCTTAAAATGTCATTTAAATCAATAGTGAGGAAAAAAATTATGCAAATCAGGAACCAAGACACTTTCCCACATTCAAAACACATGACAAAAACACTGGGCCATCAATGAATCAATGATAAAGTAAAAGCTTTATAACATATAAGAAAATTCAAGTATTTAGTGTGAATTAGAATCATTACTTAGAAAAGACATTAGATTCAACACCACATCATCATTGGTAATGTTCATATTAAACGACCAGGGACAATAAAACATGTACTGGATAGTAGCTACTGTAACTTTAACATTTCTCTAGAATTTGTTGTTAAAGGGCTTTCAAAATAAACAGTGTACTGATAACAGGTTGTTCATTTCAAAAGATAGTTCCTTTCAGTCATTTAGTGGAATTAGTGCATTAACTTTCTCTACTTCAGGCGTGGCTTAAAAACAGGAAATGCAACATTGTTGGATCCCATCCCAGGCACTCAGGCCACAGTCCAGACCAGTTGTTCACAAACTCTTGAACAGGCTCTGCTTCTCAGTTCTCTCCATGCTGTGCTTATCCCTGTTGCTTGTGTAGGTTGTTCTAAGACTTTTTCCGTCCCCTACATCTTTCTCTCATATGCTTTGATATTTTATTATAAAAAATCCCATTTTATTGATCTTGCAGTCTAACGTGATTTTATGTTTTATCTGGTGCAGGTCATAGTAAAATTACAATTAAATATGTTAAGATACATTTGATAATGAATTTGAAGAAAATCAGCAAAAACAGCAGACATAAGAGACTGAAACATAAGAGACACTTTGCGTTGCGTGTAATGAATCTATGTATGATAAATCAGTTTCACTTTTTGAATTACTAAAATAAATTAAATTTAAGTAATATTCTATTTCACTGTGATGCTGGGACTACTAGACCATTCATTTACAGTTCAACCATCTGTCCAGTAGGTGGCGTCTTTAGGGTTGTTGCCAACCGCCGAATAAGAGCAGAAACAGATCCTCTTTCCAGTAGATGGCGGTAATACGCATCAGTAAGTTGCTTGCAAACCGCTATAAAAACAAGACGAAGAGGGGAAAAAAAAGAAGAAGAACAGCAGTAGAATGGTCCCGTATGTAAACAGTGAAGGCATCATACCTTGCAGAAACAAAGGGATGTTATGAAAGTGACTAAACCAGCAGCTGGCATATTCAGTCCCAGCGTTAACCGTTGAAGCGGACAGCATGGATGAGTCGTGGGATTTTGAGTTTCTGTCCCGCATCGCTGACAGCTGCCTATCGTTCCTCTCCGAGTTTGTGGACGATTGGCTCGCCAACGACATGAGGGTCTCCATCTTTAAAATCCTTTTCAGTTGGCTGGTTTTTAGCCTCATCGCGATTCATTTTGCATGGAAGGTCTACGGGAACACAGTTAACGACATGTATTACCGACAAGGTGGGTGTGTTTCGTTCCGCACAGGGATATTATGTTTTGTAAAAACCAAGCTAGCCCTGTTAGCATGTTAGCATATACTCTGTTTACATTCAGGGAGCGGACAGAACGGAGGAACCCCGGAGGCTGCTCCTCACCTCAGTGGATGGTGGGTGTTTGATGTCACCGTTACACGACTGTCTTCTCTCATTTCTTTTACTTTAATAAGTCAAACGATTAGGTTTGTTTCCAAAGTGACAGCCCGCTTTAATGTCATCGTCATGGTTTTTTATTGATGTTTTGTATTTTTCTGTTGTCTTGCAGGGAGAGTAAAACAGGAGACAATCTGAAGAGCCATCGGGATTAGAGAAATACTCCTTTTTAAATTATGGGCTGGACATTTTAGCTTTTGAGAAACTGAATGAACAGTTTTGATAATTTATAGATATAAACAATATATATATATATATATATATATATATATATATATATATATATATATATATATATAATGTACCCATATGTGTGTTTATCTGGTGAAGTTGTGAATTATGCAATTAAAATAGTCAACCGGTTTACAAAATAAACTTTAAATTGAAAAAAGAAAGATGTGCTGTTTATACTTTTCAGCATAACCCAAAACAGTAGAAAGTTTAAATCACGAGTTTCAGACATTTTTTTTCTAATAAGGCATATTAGGAATAGGAATTTGGGGTTTTCATGAGCTGTGTGCCAAAATCATCAGTATTAAGACAATAAAAGGCCTGAAATATTTCACTTAGTGTACAATGAATCTAAAATATATGAATGTTCAAGTTTTATCATTACATTATGGAAAATAATTAACTGTATCACAATATGCTAATATATTGAGAAGGACCTGCATATCAGTCACATTTACGTGTGTTTTTCCTATCAATCTAAGAGTAGTCTGTGTTTATTTGCAAGCTGACAGCAAGATGGTAGATTTAATTAATTAATGTAATTTGACATTAAATTTAGAAAGTGAACTTCATCAGATATGAATAAAAAAGAAAATCACGAAGCAACGTCTCATATGGTACCAATTTTTATTTGAAAGAAATGTATCTGTTGGATCCTATTTTAGGATTAATTGTCAAGGTTAGAATATTTTTACAGAATTTGTTGTTATCAATTATAGTATAGTTATCAAATTAATTTATTAAAACTGGAAATAGATGCACAATTTATTTCATAAATATATTTATATATATATATATATATATATAGATTCATTATTACTGTTCAATTACAGAACTGCCCGTTATTTTCCAAAATTACCATAAATCCATGTAACTCCTCTCTAAACGTCTAATTAAAAAAATAGACTATATACTAACAGAAAGACTCTGTTAGTAGAAATAATCAGTAGAACCAGGCCCAGTGTGAGGACCCATCTGCTAAATCTGGTAATTTGTAAAAAAGAAAACCCTATAAAAACTTTTTAATGCATATGAATAAAAAAAAAACCTGACATGATGATCCACTGGTTTTTGTCACAATGGTTTGTTTTGGTTTTAACTTATTTTGATGGGGATGGCTGGGATAAGCAGCACATGTACATCCATGACATTAGTACAGGTCAGGCCAGGTACCAGTAGACGCTGTGCGCCTGAGAGACCAGAAAAAAAAGTGTAAGAGTCATTGTTACTGAGGAAGCTGTCAACATCTAACCCCTGTGCATGGGCTTCATCATACAGCCCCCCATCAGTGATGGCTCCTGCAGCCTCTGTTGGTCCATCCTGACCATCAGTGCCACCGCTCAGAAACACAGGCCCCTGAGGGGGGAGCTTCAGGCCCCTCATTTCCAGTGCCACTCTTAGAGCCAATTCCTGGTTCCGCCCACCTCGCCCTTTTCCTGTCAACTCCACAGTGGGTTCTCCTCCAGCTAACAGACATGTGGCGCCCCAACCTTCAGTTCGCCCTTCGTCCATCACCTGCATGGTCCGGCACAGATCCCAGCTCTCCACGCCCACGTCGGGCCCCAGCCTCAGCACCTCAGCCGCGATCTCTGGAGGCGGCTCCTCATAGGAACAGGCGAAGCGAGCCAGAAGGCCGTACATTCTGGAGACCATCCTCACATCTCCACAGACTCCTGGTGAGAGCACAACAGGACGGAAACCTAGCTCTCGAGCACGCCTGCCGGCACATGTGAGTGCAACAGTATTAGAGCCAATCACAACGTTTAGAGCCTTTTCAGCTGAATCGACGTCCCCCGTGTTCTCTTTCCAGCGGGGACCCTGTCTGGCAAGCACTTCCTTTACTGATGCTGGAATAGAGTTGTGCAGCTTGTATTGTTCAAGGATAGATAACACTTCCTCTGGCCACACCTCACATGCCACTGTTGGGCCACTTGCTATCAAATCAAGCGGGTCCCCAATCACATCAGACAGCGTGAGTGAAACCACCTTTGGTAAAACAATTAGAAGATCACTAATTAGAAATATGCTCTTTTTCCAATAAAAATATATATTTTGAAATACCTGCTGGGAGTTACCTGTGCAGGGTGAGCATGGTGTGCAAGCCCTCCACCTTTCAACAAAGAGAGGGATCGACGTACTTTGTTCAGCTCTTGGATGGTGGCACCAGCAGCAGCAAGTCTGCGGGTGACATCAAGCTTCTCTTGAAGCGAGATTGGAGGAATTGGTGCTGGTAAGAGTGCAGAGCCTCCACCTTGACAGAAACAAACCTGCTGTGAAACCCATACAATCTGATGTGACTATTAAGAGAAATGCACATGCTCTTACCTGATATTAATACAAGCAGCAAATCTTTTTCGGTCAGTTCACTGGCTAACTGTTTGATCCGTTCAGCTGCTCTCACAGAGTCATCATCAGGTAGGTTGTTTTTGGCTCCTTCCATGACTTTGATCCGGCTGTCTTCCTTCAGCAACAGATGGCTGCAATCGATACAAAGAATAACATGTAGAATAACATTCTTATCCATATTTTAGGTTACTTTGGGTATTCAGACTAGCACTAATCTATTAACATGCCACTAATAATTGTAAAGTGAAAGAAAACTGTATACTTCATTTAAAAATGTAGTTAAATGTCGTATTTAAAAGGATTTCTTCCAAGGTTGCCCTGTGATGCACTCTAAGGGCCGTTCTAACAATATAAGATCCCAGGTTTGGAGTGTCCCACACGTAGGTTCATCTCCAACCAAACCTTGAATCGTTAAGCAGGTTACCTTCCAGGATTGCTCCTTTAGCCTCATCTATTTTTCTATATGAAGCTAATTTCATCTATGCACTCTGACCAGCCTTCCTGTCCCTCATAGCATAAGGGTGTCCACACCAAGTTTCACTGTGGGTGGTGTGTTCAAAATGTTGGTCAGTGTTAGTTTTCCATCATTAAGGCTTTATAAATAGATTGAATTCAGTGTTATCTGCCCAGAGCACCTTTTCATACATTTTCACTGCTTTCCTTACATGGTGTCTACATGTTTTTTTTTTTTTGCCTAAAAATCTATTTTCTATCCCTAATCCCAAATTTTCTATTATCTTCTTAACGTTTTTCTATGAAGATCAGATTTGTAGAGTTCACAACTAGCAGTTATTTTCTCACATGAACAGGGGATTTTTTTTTTTTCAGGTCATGTGGCCTCTACAGAAAGGTCAAAGTAAATAATCAGAGTTAAAAGTTTATTACTCAAGTAAAAGTTGAAATCTTTACTTGTAGAAGTTAGAGTATCAACTTAAGCTTTTTATTTAAGTAAAAGTGTAAAAGTACTATTTTTAAAATGACTTAAAGTATAAAAGTAAAAGTAATAAAATACTTTTTTTTTAGAATGCTTTACAGCACTACCCTATTAAAGGAAAATTTTTCTACAATTCTGGATGATAACTTTTCTTTTTCTAAGTTTTATAACTAATGGCAACGGTGTCAATTTTAACTTTGTATTTTCTTGAAAAATATTTATTTTGGTATGAGGCGAACAACAAGTTAGTGCATTACCGAGTCAAACCACAAAGAAATTAATTGTGTGGATGAAACAAATGGTGAGACCATGGTCTTGAGCCGGTAAAGGGTAGGGTGCCTTATCCAGGTTGGGGAGGATGTACTGCCCCTAATGGAGAAGTTTAAGTATTTTGGGGTCTTTTTCACGAATGAGAGGAAGATGGAGCAGGAGATTGATAGGTGGATTGGTGCAGCGTCTGCTGTGAAGCGTGCGCTGTACCAGTCTGTTGTGGTGAAGAGAGCTGAGCCAAAAAGCAAACCTCTCGTTTTAGCGGTCGATCTACATTCCTACCCTCATCTTTGGTCATGAGCTTTGGGTCATGCCTGTAAGAATTAGATCCCGGATACAAGCGGCTGAAATTATTTTTTTCCGTAGTGTGTCTGGGCTCTCCCTTGGAGATAGGGTGAGAAGCTCAGTCATCCAGGGAGGACTTAGAGTAGAGCCGCTGTTCCTCCACAATGAGGTAACCCAGTTTGAGGTGACTTGGGCATCTGATTAGGATGCCCCCTGGACGTCTCCCTGGTGAGGTGTTCCAGGCACGTCCCACCAGGAGGAGGCCCAGGGGAAGACCCAGGACACGCTGGAGGGACTGTGTTTCTCGGCTGGCCTGGGAATGCCTTGGGATTCCCCTGGAGGAGCTGGCCCAATTGGCTGGGGAGAGAGACGTCTGGGCCTCCCTGCTGAAGCTGCAACCCCAGCGACCCGACCCCGGATAAGTGGAAGAAGATGGATTGATGGATGGATGATGAAACAAATTATTTTGACGTCTATTTTTCAAATGTAAGGAGTATAAGTATAAAGTTGCCTAAAAAATAATTATTCCAGTAAAGTATAGATAGCCAAAATTTCTCCTTAAAGGTATAGTGGAGGATTTTCGCAAATTTTTGAAAAGACCCCCCCCCCCTCGACTTCAGGAGCTCCCGAGATGGATCGTCTATTAAGCATGCAAGAGCGTGCACAGCCCGTTTCTCCTCGTGCACGCTCCGTTTAAACGTTGCTGTTTGCATCGCTCATATAAGCTTACTTTCCAAGAGAAGATTTGCAATTTTTCCACTATGTCAGATTCACCACCAGTGAGAGATAATAGGGACGAGCACGTAGGACGGCCTTACATAAACTTCACCAGAATGATTGACAATTAGGAGGACCACTTATTTTGATGATCCACCTGGAAAAAGATCTTCCTCCACTATACCTTTAAGTGAAGTAATAAAGTATTTGTACTTTGTTACTTGATACATCTGTAAATAATGCTGGCATGAGATGACACAGGAGTGGACATTATTCACTTAGTATGTGACATAGACAAGATCCCAACCAGCTGGATGGATTTTATTTGAGTGGCTGTAATGTTGCAAAGTATAAAATACACAAACTAGTAAGAATACTTCTGCGGGGCCCTGTTAATTGTACATGATCCGCTTACCTTTTTCCATGCTGCTTCAGTGTCTGCTGTATCCCATGCGGCACGCTGATGACTCCTTTGACAATATGATCGCCCAGAATCCTCTCTACCTCTGCAGCCATTCCCAGAACCGCTTTCCCGAAGCCCACCAGGTGCAGGTTGTGCCTTAATGTGAATGTGCGTCCGTCAATAATGACGGAGTCTTCCTTGCGTTCTATGCTCTGCCTGACCACATGGTCTGGCTGCACAGCTTCCACCGCAACTCGGAAGATTTCCCGTGCCCGAGAGTCCAGGGACATTTTACGAAAGGTGGGTTTCCCTCTGCCCAAGACGGCCAGAAAAGGCTGGTGCTGGAACAAGGAAAGGATGCGGGCCATTGACACCTCTGTGGAATCAATCCATTAAGATGTGTAGAGTAAGAGAAGCATGTTAATTACATTATATATGAACAATTTAGGGATGATACTGTCAGAATGATATGTGCATTAAAAATATCAGATGTTTTATATTCAAAATCATGCATACATACCAAATGTAAGCCAATTTTAATAATGGAGGGCCATTGTAAAATATATATGTATTAAAAATGATCAGTTTTTGTACACATTACCACACTTCGAAAGAGCTCCAGATGTAAGACAATTTGACAATAAATTCCCAGAGATTTTTGGCATAGTTTAACCCAACCCTCACCCTGTAGCTTCAAAAGTCTTTTGAGTTCAAATCTGCAACAGGCTGAGTCTACTTAAATTGATAGAAAAATCATTTTATATACTCCATCTAGATATTTAGTTTTTAATGTTAAAGACCAAATTATACATTTACTATTATTAGTTTGATTTATGTTCAAATTAACAAAAGTTAGATGTTATCGTTTGTAGTTAATATCAAAATTCCGCTTCTATCTCTCACTTCAAGTCTGTTTCGAAGGCTGCCTACCTGTGTGGGCTGTGTACGGCGATTAAAGCCTGCAGATTTCTGTGGCAGCCTGTTGTGTGTGTTCCAGATCCGCAGTTCAGCAAAAATGTAACCAAACAGTGACTGGAGTTGTTTAAACTACGTTTAATGATTGATTTGAGATATCACTGCCCATGTGAACATGCATTTCAGCTGTCCTTTTAACCTCTTCTCTACACTACCAAAAAAAAAAAAACCCTTTTATTTACATTAAATTAAATACACATTTTTATAATAAAAATATTCTCAGTGTGTTATTCATTTGAAATCTTTTTTTTTTTTTTTATCGATAGTAAGCTAAGAGAATACATTTAAAAAACTTGATTATGAGTTGAATGGTTGCTGGTGCCAGACAGGCTTGTCTGAGTAGAACTGATGACCTACTGGGATCTTTATGAACAATAGAGTAGAGGAGCTTTACAGAATGCCTTTCCTGAGCACTACTTGTTGAAAGTGGTGCTTTAGTTAAAAGGAAAGGATGCGGGTCATTGACACCTCTGTGGAATCAATCCATTAAGATGTGTGGAGTGAAATAATCATGTAAATTACATAATATATGAATAATTTAGGGATGATACTGGCAGAATGATATGTGCACTTATGCCAACTAAAAAAAACAAAAACAAAAAAAACAGGAAACTGGTGCTTTAGTTACTAGAATTGGAGAGGCTGCAGGCTAAATGTGTTGCAGTGGCAGGTGGTAATGGCATTTCCAGTGTCAGCTGTCCCAGGTATGCTGGTACTACTTAATATTGCTAAAAAATAAACTTGACTCTTTTGCATATTTAGTCTCAAATTCAGTTGCAACAATCAGGCAGTCATCACAGTTTGTATCAAATGCCCTGGCTGGTGGTGGTGGTGCAGTAGTTTGGGATATAACTGTGTGAACATCATAACCCCCAGTGCAAATGACCATGTACATCCTTTTATCACAGAAGAGAACACATCTCATGAGGGTTACTTCCACTAGGATAATGCATCTTGTCAAGTTTGAGGTTGTCAGTTGTCAGTGAGTCTTTATCATAAATACAGATCAGGCATATTATTACATAATATCAATACTGGAAAGTGGTCACAATCACTACAAATTAAACAAAATCTAGATATCTCAGCTATTGTTATTCAAAACTAATAGAATTATTTGTTAATTCAATTAATTTAGCAAAAAAAACACGAACAGCATAAAGTTATAGTCGAAGACCATACCTTAGGCTTGGAGTTGCCTTTCTGTGGGGTCAAAAGTCATCCTGCAGCTTTCTTCATGTGTTTATTTTGCTGTGGCAGTAAATCTTAGAAGCGGCTGAGAATCAAATCTTTGCCCATTTTTTATGTGACAGAATGACTGGTATTTAACAAACACATATACTTCTATTCAAATAATGCAATGCTAAACATTAACATGCAGAGTTTAAGTTTATTTGATCGTTTGAATTTAAGCATTAGTGTTGTTTTTAAAGTACTGCGCAACTCTCGCGAGAAGTTGGAGGTTCACGCCACTGCGCGTCACTGACGTCGAAAAGGCGGTGTTTCGTCCCTCCCCTGCCGTTGACTCAAACCACACCAAGCGGGACCTGGTCGCTGATCTTGATATTCTGTTATCCTAATCCCTACTTTTTAGCACCGCTTTTGCTCACATATCTTTACGAATCACCCTAACTGTGATATTTGAGACAATTTAAAGCGAGAGGAGGGCCAGCTTCCCCTCAGAGACAGGCAGGCTAACATGAAGCTAACGGACAATGTGCTTCGGAGCTTCAGGGTTGCTAAGGTGTTCCGAGAGAACACGGACAAAATTAACTGCTTTGATTTCTGCTCAAACGGAGAAGCGATTATTTCCAGCAGCGATGACGACTCACTGGTCTTGTATGACTGCCAGGAGGGAAAGTAAGAGCGGTTTCTCTCCAGTTCGTTGAGGGTTTTTTTCCCACGTTAGCTGGTTTGCTATATGCTAGCCACCGAGGCCCGCTGCGTTGCGTTGGGCGATTAAGAACGAAAAATGAAATGTATGAGCCCGTAAATTCAAGTATTTCTTTTCAAATATATATATTCAAATAGTTATTCAGGTTTTACATTTTATTTCATTTTTTTTAAAAGAGTATTATAGCTCTGTGTATTTTGCTAGTAAGTTAGCTTAATGGAGAAAATGCGCTTTAATTTAAGCTAACATGGTTGAAGATTTGACTATATGACATAAGAAGTTAAATGAGTTTCGGAGCTCGTTAATACTCAATCTTTAGCCTTTGGGTTAACTGCCGCCATTTCTTTTTTTAGTACATAGGGACCAACTGCCCAGTGCAAGATGTTTGGCGTGTATTATTATAATAAGCAGCTTTAAAGTGGGTATAGATCAACTTTAACGTGTCTAAATTCACTCAGATTAAATTTTAAATACCAAGATGCTCTAGTAGATGGGTTAAAGATTTGAAAATTTTACAGTTACGTTTTCTCTGGTAGATAAAAACCATTGATGTTTGTATTCTGGAAATGGAGGGAAAATAATGGGGTTAATTAAGTATTTAAAGACAGTAATACAACAGGACTGGCATCCATAACTATTCAGAACAGCTTGTTGGTTTAATTACAGAACTTATCCAACAAACGGCATCAGGGATGGTTCTGGAAAAGCAGAATGCAATCTTAGTTTAAAAATCAATACCTAAGCTTTGAACTTGTATTGGAAAAGAGGAATAGCATGATACTGCTACTTCTGCTTTCCATATAATTCTACCAAGAAAAGCCTTTTTAACTTTAACTGATAAACTGGAGTCTTTTATGGAAATACAGCTGTTAAACCTAACCCCAAACTGGAGGAGCTAAAAAGATTCACAGTTCAAAGTGGGGGAAAACACACTGAGAGGGTGATGCAGGTCGATAAAACCAAAATAAACTTTTGGCCAAGCAGACATCCGTTCAGTAAAGTAATGTTACATGGTGGTGAGAGCATGGTGCTGTGTGGATGCTTTCCTCCAGCAGGCATGGGAAACCCGATTTAGGTTATTATGAGCTTTTTCGAGATAAGTGTTTGGGGAGGGGTGAACTTTTGTAAATGTTTAGCATAAGAGCACATACAATAGTACTTCTCCCACAACCCCTGTCAAGTAATTGAATTAATAGAAAGGTCTGCTTCTAATTTTTTTTCTTCTTTTTATTTATGACAGACCCAAAAGAACTCTCTACAGTAAAAAGTATGGGGTGGATCTGATCAGGTACACACATGCTGCAAACACAGTGGTCTACAGTTCCAATAAAATTGATGGTATGTATTCAGAAAAAGAAAAGGTCAATATATATTTCTTGTTGCAATTTCAGAGTTTAACTTCTGTTCTGCAGCCTCATTTTAAGTCTAAATGGCCCAGGATGCAGGCTAATGAATGCTGTTGCATAATTGGTCATCATGCTGCTCACTGTAGCCTGAGGTAGTTGTTTGTACAGTTTGAGGGTCTGTGATTCTACCCCATACAGGAGCTAACTGTACAAGTGACTGCCTTGCCTACGGTTGAGCACAATCTCCGGACGAGCTTTTAAAACGCCAAGTTGTGTCTTTTCCTCTGTTTGTTTCGGTGCATAGAATTCATTTGTCATTCATTCGGGTCTGCTGGTGTCACCAAATTTGTTCTTTTCCTTTTAGACACTATACGGTATTTGTCTCTTCATGACAACAAGTATATCCGATACTTTCCTGGACATAACAAAAGGTGAGGGCTCTTCTTATGTTTCCTTGATTGGTTCATGTTTTATCCTGCTGTTTTGTTTCTTTATTAATTGTATTGTTTTTTGTGATCAGAGTGACTTCTTTGTCGATGTCTCCTGTGGATGACACGTTTATTTCCGGCTCATTAGACAAAACTATCAGGCTGTGGGATCTGCGTTCGCCAAACTGCCAGGTTGGTATCTAGCTTTACTCCCCTCTCATAAGCATTATTCGAGATTTGACTTTGAACACGGCACCAAATTTTCTGTGAACTTGTTTTTTTTTTTGTTTTTTAAGGGGTTGATGCACCTTCAGGGGAAGCCAGTGTGCTCGTTTGACCCAGAGGGCCTAATTTTTGCAGCTGGAATAAATTCAGAGATGGTTAAACTTTATGATCTGAGATCATTTGATAAGGTATGTGGAAAGTTTATTTTTTTGTATGTTTGTGTGAGATATGTTCTTACTCTGTTATTTAAGCTAATATATAATCTGCAACAAAAACATTCCTCTCACCAACAGGGTCCCTTTGCAACTTTTAAGCTTCAGTACGATCGGACATGTGAGTGGACGGGACTCAAGTTTAGCAACGATGGTAAACTCATCCTTCTTTCAACTAACGGCGGCGCCCTTCGCATCCTGGATGCTTTTAAAGGAGCTGTGCTGCATTCTTTTGGGGTAGGGGAGAGTTGCACTCAATGCTCATTAATGAATAATATTTAAGCAGTGCCTCATGTAGTGCTGAAGTGTCAGTGTTAGAAATTGAACTTTATCTTCTATTTAAATCAAATGTTAAACCTCTACAGCCAAAGTTGTTTTATATATTTTTTACCCTATTTAGTTGAATGAACTGTGCTACAATGTTTATGGACAGTTGACATTTTATAGAGGAGTTTTGCAAAGAAGTTGCGTAAAATAACAGGGGTTTCTGGGTAAAGTTAAATGATTATAACTTTCAACCAAGCCGACCCAAATAATTCATTAAATAGCAGAAAAATGTTGTGCTCATATGATAGTTTATTCAATGATTAAGAAGCCAAAAGGTTTTTGAATTGAAAGGTTGGTTTGTTTTGTCGATGGATGGTTTTTGATTAAAATTAGGCCAATCGCAATTTAATAAAAGACCCTGTGAATAATTTGATTTAAAAATGTTTTGTCATGTCCCACCACTTATTTCTGAAGTGTTTCTTGGGTTTTAATATATGTTAAAATGTTTTTCTCTATTTTTAGGGGTATAACAACAGTAAAGGTGTAACCCTAGAGGCTTCCTTTACTCCAGACTCTCAGTTTGTAATGATCGGTAAGTTTATGGAAGCATGTATTTAATTATCTTAACTCATAAGTTTAAGGAAAAAGCTCCACACTTCTTGTTTTGACGTAAATTAGCTGTGTAACAACAAAGTGCATTTTATTTTATGCAGAAATATGAAAGCCTTTTCGAGTTAAGTCCAGATCAGATTTTCTCAGATTATTTGTTCACCTTGTATGATAATATAAAGCTTTCTTCGTTCTGTCTATTCAACAATAAAATTTAACAAATATTAACTTAAAGGTTGATAATAAAAACTGCTGCAGATTACTTGATAAAAGTACCAGCAGTTAACCGCCTGACACCCGCTGATCAGAGCTGATCATTTGGGATTTTACCAACTTTTTTTTTTTCAGTCAGTTTGCTTCCATCTCTAGGGATAGAGACACTCTGGCCAACCATTTATCCTAACACTCACAGCTATGAGGAACCTTTGATAGACCAGTTAACCTAGCAGTCATTTATTATGCTACTGATCTGGCATTTAGCAATAAGTCTATTTGTAATTTAGTTGTCTTGTATTGCTGTAGTAAAATATAATAGAAGAGAAAATCCCTTTATTGTCCCACAATGGGGAAGTTATGGTGTTTACAGCAGCAAAAAGATCCTAGCCAGTTATAGGAATAAATTTCACTGTTGATCTTCTAAGAAATATGTTTTTTTCTAATAATGAGCTGCCCTGTTCTGTGTCATTTTTTTCTCACTGATTGATGTGACGCAGGCTCAGAGGATGGAAAGATCCACGTGTGGAACGCAGAGAGTGGGATGAAGGTGGCCTTATTAGACGGGAAGCACACCGGCCCAATTACCTGTCTGCAGTTCAATCCAAAGTTCATGACGTTTGCCAGTGCCTGCTCCAACATGGTGAGTCTGGGATGCGAAAGGTCAATCCTCACATCTGTCGTATTGGATTGACGAAATGCACTTCAAACAGTTGAGAAAAAAAATTTTTTTGAAAATAAAATGAGAGGATTTGATTTTGCCAATAGTTTTGTTTTGATTTTAAAGGTCATTTCTATAAACAATTTTAAAGATTCTCTAAATGAAGTTCCTTATTAAAACTGTTTTTAAGGTCAATAATGTTAAAGCCCAAATTCTGATCAACATTTTTAAGGATTGAAGGTTTTTAATCTGTAAACAAGTTATGGCTGTAAGGAATTACAGATTTATGGATTCAATCTTTCAGGCTTTCTGGCTGCCGACCATCGATGACTAAGGACAAAACTGAAGAATGTGTCGCAGGAGCCAATGGCCAGCAGGGGGCGTTGTAAAAAGAAAATTTATATTCAAGTTGTAAATAATCAGTTGTAGGAATAAAACATGTTGCTGTTTTTTTACATTTCTATTTAAAATTAAATTGTTTTTCTTGTCAAAAAATGTCTGGACTCTTTTTGTGTGTGTGTGTGTGTGCACAGATTATCGTCCATTTGGTGTTTTTGAAATGATTGTAAGAACAATTCAAAAACAATGTAGTCATCTTTTTTTTTTTTTTTCAACAGTTAAGAAAACAATACATGTTGTTTTTAAATCAACTGAAGACTAAACAGGATTCAATTATTCTAGTTTATTGTGTTTTTAATCATGTTTTATTTAGTAAGGTTGGATCTTAAGGTATTCTGAAACCTGATAGGACCTGATCTTTTATTAGAGCATAAACAACTTTCACAATCTGTTGACCATCATTATGGAATCATGTGGAAACCTTTGAGGTGGATATGTTGAGTAAAGATTCCAGTATAATAAGCCTTTCAGCACCTTTTTCATTTTTGTTTATTTGATCAAAGGGTCACAGTTTACCATTTTATAAATCTGAAGGCCTTTAGATTTACATCACTCAGGTCTTGTAGGTGTAAGAGGGTTTAGGTCATGGTCTTCCGTTCTGTTTTGGCTCTTCACAGGCCAGCACCCCTGCCTGGACAGGCAGAGATGGGGCTAAATTTGGGAGAGGTGATCAGGTTCCACCTCTGTGCACATGACACTGTTCCAGTTACTTGAGCAGTCCAGTACCTTCTCACACATTCAGCCTGCAGACGGAACACTCACTGGTCCTGATCAGGACTCTTCATACTTTCTTCTTTTGACTGAAAATTTAAGTCGTCTGGACTTAGGGTTTTATTCCAGCTGCCTTGTCTTTTTCCATCGTCGCCTCCTTCCTCCAACGCCCTCCACCCTGACCCCCCTGGCAGGAGGAAGAACCAGCTTGACCGGCAATGTTCCTCGCACTGGTGGTGACGCCGGAACTGAGGCAGTTCCTGGCCAGGGCGAGAGGCGGAGCAGCACGCCTCATCAAAGTCTGCATCCAGGACGGTGAGTGACCCTGTGGATTGGCTGATCCTTTCTGGAACTGTTAGTGGAAATGGCACAGATTACCTCTACCTTGAATTAATTATCTCATTCTTCAGAAGTAATCCTCCGGGGACAGTTAAACCAGTTTGGTCTTAAAATCAAATTGTATATATATGGTCTTATAAGGTAGATTGTAAAAATTCCTACTGTCCTTGAATCTGTAGCCTCAAGATCTAGAAAAGCTTAATTTCACAAACATATTTGCAGTGATGTTACTGCATTGACCTTTTCTTGTTTTTAAAGACCTCATGAAGATGATTCAGTGTTGCTCAAACGTAAACTGTTTTCAGTTCAGCAGCTGACCTTAAGCCACCAATGACGTGCCGAGGATAATTAGGTTGCCTGGCATTCACAGGGGTGATGAGGCCAAAGGAAAAGTTAGGGGAATTCAGTGAAAGGTTAGTTTCTTCCTCAGGAAAATAAGAACAAAGGCATCTGTCGTCTGAAAGCAGGCTGTAGGAAAAAGTGGATGAAGCAATAGCTTTCTAGGCAACTGGTTCTTCACCATGATGTTTACATGGTGTTTTTGTGTAGAACCAATGTCACGCTGTAATACGACTCATGTCAGATGCAATGTGGGAAGTTTTTTGGAGCTCTCTCTGAACTGAAGACATCACATGAAATATTTGTTCACATATTTATAGGGTTGCTGTCAGACTGTTGCGGTGAAGAGGTTTCTGCTTTAATCTGACACTTTGACAGACAGCCTTCCTGCTCCAGTATCTATGGGAAAACGACTCCTAGCAAAAGCGTGTAAAACCTTAAAGACCTTTGTTCACATTGCAGCCACTTAGTTCAAAGTATTTTACTGGAACTTTATGAGATAGACTAATGAAAAGCGCTGCATGATTGTGAAGTGAAAGGACATTTTTAAAATCATTTTAAAAGTTTGAGTTTTTTAACAATTAAACAAATTAAAGATGTGTGCATCAGCACTCCTAATTGCTGTAAACCAACTCTACCTGAAGTTACAGCAGCACTTATTTTTGCATATCTGCAAATATTTTCACCAGGTCTTAGTCAGACTGAACAGAGAAAATTTGAAAAGATTAGCTTTCATGTTTTTTTTACTGACTCCACAGGATTTAGATCCGGACTTCAGGTTTTCTTGCTGAAAGGATAACCTCGCCTCAGTCTAAAATTTTTTTATCATCTCTAAATGGCTTTCCTGCTTTTTCTAAGCTCAAGCATTCCCACAGCATGATGCTGCCACCATTAGGATTCATGGTGGACTCAGGTTGATGTGTAGTGCTTGCGTAAGGCCAAAAGATTTAATTTAATTGGAAAATCTTCTGACATGTTTGCTACATCTCTTTGCCGCAAACTGGACTGCAGGTGATATTTTTCAACACTTGTTTCTATTCATGAACCAAAGGCTTCAGAAGTACATCAGTAATAGCTTTCCCATTTGACTGTGGATGTCTGCAGTCCCTTCAGGAATCCTGTGTTTTTATTCATTACTCCCTTTCTATTTCTTGATGGGCCAGTTAGTTTAAATGGTCGGCCATTTTTTGGTTGGTTTACAACTGTGACATACTCCTCCCATTTTCATAGGTAGGTCTATGGTTTCTGATCAATAATAAGGTTACTTCTAAAGAAAAAGTATTAGATTCTATTTAGGGATGTTGAGTAATGATGCTGATTATGATTGCATGTCATACATTTAGATAAAATGGTGACCATATTTAAAACAAAGTTAGTTTTGTTTAATTTCACAGTGATGTTCCATTCTGTGTTGGTCCCTCAGTATTTCATTATGACAGACTGAGTTTTGTTGTTGAATAAATTAAAATAATACCTTAATATGCTGATGTTCATTATTTGAAAGTAACAAATCTGATGGTAACTAAATGTGGAAATGTGAATACATCTAATGCAGCATTACTTTAACCATCTTGCAGCTGCATCTTAATATTTAGCTGTAGTCCAGTACAGAGTACTGTTTTTTTTTTTTATGCATAGGTGAAGCATCAGGAGTTTCATGAATTTAAAAATTAATGTTTAAATTGAGCGATGCAATACAGAAAGCAGGAGACCTCCCCAAGATGATAAGCTCCAACCTCAACCCTCCCCTGTGCACTTTGGTCTCTCTGGTCGCTGCTCTGCTATTTGAACCGGCCCGGGACTCGTTCTGTGGCCTCTTCCAATGTCCAAAGTAAAACTAGATCGCTGCAGCTGATTGCATCACCATAAAGTTAGGGTCCTATTCTACAAGTAATCTTTTTAGAGGCCAAAAAGCCATTAGACCCACATGGAAACAAATTCTGTTCTTAGCTTCATACTAATTTATAGCATTTAAGACAAGAGAGAATGACTAATGGAAAGTATGTGCATGCAGAGCTGGAATGTATTGCAGCTCAAAATAGAAACTTGCCCCAAGAGAGAGTCAGAGGGGAAACCCTGCACCCAACAAAGGACATTAGAGTCGAGGTTTCTTTCTGTGTTTTCACTTCATTAATATTTTCAGAGGTTTATTAATCTAGTTTTATTTTCAACTCTGAACCTACTCTTTCCTGCTTTTACTTTATCACGACACCTGAAAGACTCAAACAAACAAGATCTACTTTGTCTTTGGGATGGTTGTAGAGAGAAAAGTTATTTATTGTGTTTATAAACATTGAAAATTATAGAAGATATTAAGCTTTAATAGTTTTTTCCCTGTTTTTTTTTTTTTTTTACATATATTAAATAGCTTCTCTAATTTAATCTAAAAAGCCTCCATCCTTTGCCACAGTGAACAATGCAAAGTGGTTTAGCCTAGTTATCTCTTCTTTCTCTATTTATTACCGACGCTTGCATGCTGCTTAAAGAGAGACTTTGGTATGTGATGAGTAGTGGTCTGATTTTCAGAGCAGCTGGTGCTGGGGGCCTACAGAGAGCCACAACAAAGCTGGGACCAGGACTATGACCACTTCCTGCTTCCACTCCTGGATGACCAGGAGCCCTGCTACATCCTGTACCGCCTCGACTCCCAGAATGCTCTGGGCTATGAGTGGATTTTCATCTCATGGTCCCCGGACCAATCTCCAGTAAGCCACAAAACATGTTCCTAACAATCATTGGGGGGGTACTCTAACCCTAAAACCTGATTTATCACTTAATCATCCCTTTAAGGCACCTTTGATTCTGAAGTATAAGAATGTGCAGTCATTACAGCGTTTATGAAGGAGACGTGTTGTGGTGTGAAATATGAATATCAGTCTTTATGTCAGGAAACATTTAATCCCTTTGAATGTCGGACACTGATAAAAAAAAAAAGGAAGAAAAATATCTGTTGTATGTAAATAGCTGGTTTAATTGTAAATGTTTGGAACATATTCCTCATCGCACCATCAAAAGTACTGCCAAAGCCTTAAGCAAGGAGGTAAGGTACATTTTATTGCTGAAACATCATGCTTTTTAATCTTTTTCAGCTAAAGTCACCAAACATAACTCGGTGAATAAAAAGACAGATAAAAAAAATGTTGCTTGATTCAGTCAAACTACACCTTTGAAAGGAGGCTGGCAGACTTTTAATAATGCTAGTAAAGGAAAAGCTTCTAGCCAAGCACAGAAATCCATCTTGACGAGCTGAGACTGAAACAATATAAAGCCAATTACTGTAAGGATCATGTAATGTCATGATCATGTAAAAGTCTACCGTATAAGACACATTCACCAGAGAAGTAAAATAAGATGTTACCATCAGTTTAGACATGGGAAAAGTACATCATCCACCTCTGCTTCCTCTGTTGGATTTATGAGGGAAAGTAGCAGCACTTCATTAACCAACACCGCTAAAGAAGTTTAGTTTTCTAAATGGGTGCACCAAACACAATGCTAAGTGAGAAAGATACCAGCAATGACTCTAGAGAAGATCAACAGGCAAGAAACCATTGTCCACAAACGGTGAAGGGTTCTAGGGAGTTCACAATCAATTTAGAACAGATTGTTCAACAGAGAAAGCTAGATATCTTTTCTAGAGATAT